CCCCCCGCACACCCACACCCACCCACACCCACGCCCACACCCACACCCACACCCTATTAATTTTTGCACATTATCGAATGTGTTGCAATTATTTATTAATTCATCAGAGTATTTTTTAGTGAATGGTAATAATTCATATGTATCAGATATGTATGGTATTGTATAAATGAATGCTGAATAGTTATTAAATGAATATTCAGTATACCAATGATGTTCTTTTTGCCAAAAATCACTTTGAAATTGATAAAACTTCTCAATAATGATACTTTCATTTTTATGATTTAAGACAAATATAAACTTGAAAATATTTAAATAAGGTAATGATGATGAAATCAAATTTTCCCATCGATAAGCATCAAACATATTTAATTTATTGTCTGTCGATATTGTTAAACTTTTTAAATTTGGTATTTGCTTTATAAACTTTTCGAAGTCTTCAAAATCATTTTGAAATTTATCAATAATTAATCGTTTTAAATTCCAAGCAATATAATCACAGCAACATGTTTCATTATTTATCGATTCATAGTAAATTGAAAAATTTTCGATATTCAAACAATTTAACATCGGCATACACTGTAATATTTGACATAATTCTTTTGATTGACATTTGGATATTGTTAGTTTTTTAACTGATGAAATTTTATCAATCAGTGTTAGACTATCAAATAATCTTTTTGAAATTAAAGAGTGTAATTTAGGTGATAATGGTAATATCCATTCTAATATTTCTACATTATTATTTTTATTTTCATTCAATGTTAATGATTGAAGATTAGAAAATTCATTGAATGAAAAAAATGATAAAAATGCATTAATTTGTCCACATGTATCTTTATCTGATAGATGTAATGAATAAATTTGATTTTTTATTTCCGGATTTAATAACATTTTTATACAAAATTTATCAAAGAAAGATTTGCGAATACATTGAAAATCGACATGTAATGGAATATTTCGAATAAGTCTGCTAAAACGATAATTTAATAGATCAAATGAATAAAAAATATCTAATGCATTTAAATATTTAAAGCATTCCATTAACATTTCATTTGGTAGGAATTCAAATTTCATTAAAATTGATAAATCACTCATTATACATAGAAAATCCAAGAATGTAGTTGTCTTACTTTTGTATTGTAAAGAAAAATACAAATATAACAAATACTTGTTGATTTCTGTGTCATAAAAAGATAACTATTATGATGTAATTTCCAACTATAACTGATTCATATTTCGTTCTTTCATTTCTACTTCCTAAGAACAATTTGTTTTTATTGTTTTCGTATTTCACGTGCGCTTAAAAATGCGAAGAACAAACAAAGAATTGTGTACATCGTTATTCATCGCAAGCTGGTTTTTTCCAACTTGCTAAATAAAACAGCATTAAATTAATACTCAGATGGAGTCATATTGAACCGATACATGTTGATTACCATGGTTTAGTATTATCAATGGTTTGACGAAAAAGTTTCAAAAACACTTCTTTATAGTAGTCAATACATAATGCTTATCAGCACAGATTGTAGACAAAAAAAAAGAAAGAAAAGAAGATGATAGCATGAGTACATATATCGACATGATTGTTTCATGAAAATATATCAATCAACCTTTCTTCTGAGCAATCGACAATGAAAAATGCTTCAGTGACAGGAGCAATCGAATGAATTATAACTCAATGAAATTTTCTTTATATAATACAGAACATTTCATTCCAACCAAAAAAGTTTACTCAAGAAAATCAATAGAAGAGATTCATCTCGACATTACAATAGTTTTTGTTACTTCAAAATTTTTTCTTTTTGATCGAAATTCTAATAATGTAATAAATCTAGTTCCTGATCAATATATATTTTTCTCAATCCAAATACATAAAGTTTTTCCAAATGTATATTCACATTGAATGTGAATTGTTAATTTTAGTTTTCGTGCTTCATCTTCCAACCAATATGTAAAACATTCGTAATCATCCAATGTTGACAAATAAATTTTCAAAATAGACAATTTTGATAAATACTTTAGTAGAAACAACAGATGATTCTTTTGATTGATGCAACAAGTAAATTGTTCGATATTTGAAAATATTTTACAAAACTTTTCTATCTGGTCAGAACTATTAAATGAATCATAAGGATATACATATATATCTAACACTGTAATCATTTTATTCAAATATTTGCATAATTTACTATCATTAAAAAATGATTGCAAACGATATGGTTCAATAGTAATTGATGATAGTTGTAATGTTTCTTTGAATAGATATAATAATACTGATGAAGATTCTAGTTGACATGCTGATGAAATAGTTAGATGTTTCAAATTAGATAAGTTAACAATCATTTTCAAAGAATTTATGTGTTCCATTTTTAAAATATGTTCATCAACATCATTAAAATATATTTGATTTTCTAACGTTAATGATATGACATTAGGAAAATAAAACGAGCAGTTGAGTGTTATTGATTCTTGATATAATATTAGATTTCTCACATTGTCAAATATATTGATATTATTCATCAACTTATCACAATACCGATTAGTAAACGGTGTTAATACATATGTATTGGATATATAAGGTATTGTATAAATGAGTGCTGAATCTTTTTCTAACTTATATTCAGTGTACCAATGATGTTTATTTAACCAAAAATTACTTTGAAATTGTTTGAACTTATGAAGAATATCATCTTCAAGAGAATAGATAAATTTAAATTTGAAACTATGTAAATGAAGAAGTAACGATGTAATCAAATATTCCCATTGATATGCATCAATTATATCTATCTTATGATCGGTAGATATTGTTAAACTTTTTAAATTTGGTGTTTGTTTTAACAATTCTATAAGTTCATCAAATTTGTCTATAAAATTGCTCACAATTAGTTGTTTTAGATGAATTGCATGATTATTGTTAAAATATATACCATTATATGTTGATCTATAATTTCTGTGAATATTCTCAATATTTAGATATCGTAACATAGGTGCATATTTGAATAGTTGACGTAATTCATCTAATGAACAATTAGATAGTGTTAAATTTCTAATTGGCAGTATTTCATGTGTTGATACCAAGATAGAATCTAGTCTTGATATTGCTAATATTCGCAGCTTTGACATCGATACTGTAGATAGTAGCTTGTCTGCTTCGATTTCATGATCATTTAAACGAATACAACATAGTTTAGGTACTAATGGTAACATCGATTCGAGTTTTTCAATATTATTCTTTTTGACTCCAGTTAATGTCACTGCTCGAAGATGAGAAAATTCATTCAGTGGAAAAAACGACAGAAATGTCTGTATCGATACACATGTATTCTTATTTGATAAATGTAAAGAACGAATTTGTATCTTCATATCTGGACTTGATAATATTTTCATAGAAAATTGATCAAATGTCGACTTGCGAACATACTGACAATTGAGATGTAATGGAATATTTCGAATAAGTCTTAAAAAGCGATAATTTAACTGATCAAAGGAATAAAAAATATCCAAAGCATTGAGATATTCAAAACATTCAATTAAAATCTCGTTTGGTAAGAATTCAAATTTCATGACGATTTGTTTTTCATTCATAATAGAAATCGATCGATTACTTCTAAACAACACATCTTTTACCTTTCTGTATGAAAAAAATGTATTAGTGTTTGTCATGGTACATTTTTATGATTCACTGAATAAATAATGTATTTTATGGCAGAAAGAAATTTTTTTATGATTCATCGAATAAATAACGTATTTTATGGCAGAAAGAATTTTTTTTATCATTTCTAATCATCAATTAATCATTATACATCTTTTCACTCCAGAGGAAGTGTTTTTTTTTTCATTTTATTAAGTCATATTCTATGCAGAATTCGAAGAATAAAACATTGACTTGTCCAAATGTAACATGGTTACGCTTTTGCCACACTTCTTTTCAATTCTTTCGAAGTTTGAGGGCTAGAAAGTTCCTTTAAATGTCATTCGACGCCGCTTATTATACTCTATCTGTCTTATAAGAAAATAGAGTTTTGGCTGAACACTCGTACTTCTAGAAAGGTTTTATCGTCGCCTTACGTTGTCACATAAAAAGACCGTTTTTAAAATGCCGCTGATGAAGCTCCAATTTCTTGTGAAAATATTTCTCCAAAAAAATGGCTTCTAGAGTCAGTTTTGTTGACTATTGAACGGATTTTTACGTAACAAAAAAAATTTTCTTTAAATTGTTTTCTCTGAAAAAAATGCTAAACAGATGTAACATTGTTATAGTTTTTTGTCGACTGATTTTTAGATATGTAACATTTTCATAAATACTAGTCTTTTATATGTGTATAAAGATCGCTCTAAGTAATAATCAAGTTACTACATCAAAACGAAAATCTAATAACCGTATATCAGTATGTAAAGCCATCGACACATTAAAAGACCCCCCTATATTAGAAGACCCCCCCCCCTCTTAAAAAATCGATATTTTGAAACAGTTTCTGGAGTTTATTGACTTGTTTAGCATTTAAGCCTAGAATGATATCGAAATTCAGTACGAACAATATCTTGCTTCCTCCCTCATAACCAAGTGTCAGGCTCGAATGAGTAAAATCCTGAGAAGCAACTAATAGGAAACAACTGTCTATTAAAGATTGCGTTTCTTTGTAAAAATATACCATGGAGTCATTTTCGTACTCCTTTGCAGCTTACTTTGAATACATTCTTCAGGCTCTGTACACGAAAACACGCTTCCATAGTCATAGGATCTAATGAACGCAGCGCTCGTTCGTGCATATAACACTTGAAGGAATCTTTGTACAATAGTAACAGATTAGGTAAAGTGCCGCTTTGTATTAATTAAAAGGTCTCTTTATCTTTGACTTTCTTCTAGAAAATCAGAAACGTTTTCACCACAAAACAGTCTTTCATAATTGAAGAAAACATAACTTCATGCACAGTCTACACAAAAAATTCTGGGACACTCAAGAATGGTTCTGCAAAATTTTAAATTTCATTTGAAACAAACTTTATATATATATTAAGTATAGTTACTGGTTACAGTTTCATATAATATTAAAACTAGAAGTTTTGCGTCTGTAGAGTAAAGTACGAAAGTTTAACCAGTAACTATACTTAAAAAATATATGTAAAGTTTATTTCAAATGAAAGATGAAATTTCGGAGAGCCATTCTTGAATGTCCCAGAATTTTTTGCGTAGACTGTATAAACGTCGAGATTTGATATGTGAGTACTTTTTTGAGTTTCAGAATGCATTTCTTTTTTCAATAAGATACAATGGCATTTTTTGAAACAGACGCAAAAGAAAAACAG